TTATGAAAAAGGATACATCTTGAGCACCGTGAAGCCTTGGACGTTGCAAGAGGCGCTGGCACTTCAAGTTTACGATCCGAAGAGCAGCACTTTCAACATCGACGGCAATAATTACACTCTGGAAGACGCGATCGAAAAAGGCTTCATTAGCAAAGACGGCCCGTCGATTAAAGATCCGAGAAACAACGATATCATATCGCTCGGCGACGCCATCAAGCACGGCTTCATCAACGCGAAGACCGGTACAGCCGTGGATCCGTGCACAAGCGCGCCTCTTTCGCTAACCGACGCGTTAGATCGCGGTTTCATTGTACCAGCGAAACGTAAGATATCTCTGCCGGAAGCTGTCTTCAAGGGCTTGTACGATCCGAAGACCGGACAGTTCACGGTGCCCGATACGCAAGAGAAGCTTCCGACCGATCGCGCGATCAAGATGGGCGTGATTGACGCGACGACCGCGATCGTGCGTGATCCGAACGGCGACGTGATGACGTTCAACAAGGCTATCAAAACCTCGGTGGTCGATCCGAAGTCCGGCACGGTCAGTCACGCCAGAGGACCGCCCGTAGATTTCCAGGAAGCGCTGGAACGCGGTCTGCTGCTCGAAACGAGAAGACCTATGAGCTTCAGCGAGGCTATTTCGAAAGGCATCCTCGATGAGAAAACTAACAAGTTTTTAGATCCGCAAACAGGCGTTTATCTAACAATTCTGGAAGCGATTCAGAAGAATCTTATAGACGCCGACTCGGTCACCGTCAAGGACACGAGATCCAGCGCCTGGAAAATAATGTCGCTGATGGAAGCTATACAACTCGGCTACGTGGATGGCGCTACTGGTTACCTGAAGGATCCTAACAAGGGCAACAGAAATGTATCTCTGAGAGACGCCTTCGAATCCGGCCTCATCGTTGATAACAGAGCCGCCATCTCTCTGCAGCGTGCCATTCATCAAGGATTATACGACGATAACACGGGCAAAATCACCGATCCTAGCACCGGCAGAACTGTAACGCTACACGAAGCAATGAGAAAATGCATTATCAGTCCCACGTTGCCGTGTTACTGGGACAAACGCGGCGAGCGATTGTTATCTTTGGCGGAAACGTGTCGCGCCGGCGTGATCGATAGACGCACCGGCATGTTCAAGGAACCCGGTGCCAGCGGTTCGGTTTCACTCTCCGTTGCATTGCAGCTCGGTCTCATCGTCGACATCGAGAGCATGGGATTCGGCCTGTACGAGGCGATATTGATGAACATGTACGACGTGTCGTCCGGCAAATTCGTGCATCCGACGAACAATCGCAAGCTGACGCTGGCCGAGGCGTGTCAGGTGGATCTCATAAATCCTTTGACGTCGATCGTCAAATGCACCAAGTCGCACAGATACATTCCGCTGGCGGAAGCGATCTCTTCGGGCATCGTCGACGATATTCGCGGCATGTACGTCATTCGCGAGCTCGATAAAGCGATTAATTTGCAAGAGGCGGTGAAAAAAGGCTTCGTTGTCACGTCAAAGACGCCGTTATCCATCGAAGAGGCGATCAAGTGTCGCTTTTATCGCGGCGACAGCGGCAAATTTGCCAGTCCCGTGGCTAACGAATATCACGATCTACTTCAGGCGATCAATTGCGGCCTTATAGATCCCGACACCACAGCCTTGAAGGATGCCACGACCGGACAGATAAAATCATTGATGACAGGAATCGAGGACGGCACGGTCGACGTGTCGCGGGGCAGAATACTCGATCCCAAGACGACACGCGCTTTCAATATCGACGTGGCTTTGGAGCGAGGTTTGTTAGTGACGATCGACAAACCGCTGGGGCAACAGCAGGCGTACAGATCACCCTTGGAAGCCTCGAAACCCGGACCCGGCGACAAAAGCGTGAGAGAATGCACTCTAGAAGAAGCAATCAACTACGAATTAATCGATCCGAACACATCGGTCGTGAGAGATCCGAGGACCGGTCGATTCGTAACGACGGCGAGAGCGATATCGGACGGTGTCGTAGACCCCTCCGTCAGGGGCACGATCGAGTTGAACGGCGGTGGCAAGAGAGAGCCGCGTTTCGTGCGTTTCGGCGACGTCACTGTATTCGTTAGGGAGCCCCTCACTTTCGAGACGGCGATCGAGAAAGAATATCTCTCGCTGGATTCAGGCAAGTTCACGGATCCGATCACGGGCGAGCAATTAAGCTTGAAAGAGGCGGTCAGCCTTGGCATCGTCGACTCCGATTCGGCGTTGATCAAAGACATGCAGAAGAGGAAGCTGGCAAAGTTGCCGGAGGCGTTCCGCAAGGGCATGATGGACGCGGAGAAGGGCAACGTGCTGGACACAGCCACGTCCAGACTGTACAGCTTGTCGAAGGCCCTGGAAAACGGCCTGCTGATCACCCCGCGAAACGGCGTTTCGTTCATCGAAGCGCTGCAGTTCGGTCTTTACAATCCGACCACGGGCGGTTTTCACGATCCCTTCGTTGTCACTTCCGTGCTCGACCGCAGGCGTCTCACGCTGGCGGACGCGATCGAGTCCGGCCTGATCGATCCGTCCACCACCGTGATCAAAGATCCGTTCACGGGTGATATCGCGAGTCTGTTAGAAGCAGTGAGTAGCGGGAAGGTAGATTCCGTAGGCGGCAGATTAGTCGAGGACACGGACGGCAAGAATATCGACTTCCTGAAGGCCCTGGAGCGCGGTTGTATACTCGCCGCCGAAGCGAGGGTAAGTAGGACCAGCCAGAATGTTTTTTGCCCAACCCTCGCATCGACTGATTCTTTCTTTTTTTATATCCACCCGTACGTTTTCTTTCTCATGCTGTTTGAGTTTCTCCGCATCTTTCTCATCCCGAGTTTACGTTGCTGCTGTTTTCCACTCACTCAGATTCTCTAACAGCTTCCGGAGAGTTGGATGTGATTATCATTACACTTTCACCACACGAATCCAACATTACATTTTTACTGTCATGCGATTCTCTCTTTGTCACATCTCACTCTGCCTGAAATCTGACAGACCATCATTTCACTCCGCCATCTTTCACGAGGAGAGACGCTTGCCGGCATGATGGACTTTTAAATAGTCTTCGTTCTTGACTCGCATGACATTTTTACACATCTCGGTTGAGAATTGACAGAAATAATACGCATAACGTGCATGGGTGTCGAACAAGAATCATTCTTTTTTTTTTCCCCTCTACTCCGTAGAGGCATCACCCCGTGCTTCCTTTTATCGGAATGCTCGCTTCCAACGGTTTATCAGACCGTCTCATCACACATCACACTCACTTTCGTGCTTACGTCTATTATCTTAATGTGGGTTCAGTAAAAGGTCGGCCGCATCATCACGTTACGGCACGCCGCGTATGTTTCCTTGAAAGGCTCGTCACTATAATCGGCGATCTGCTGCAGGCCATCGAACGATATCGAACATCGCATCATGAACAAACTCCTCCACCACGCAGAATATCATCATTAATCCCAAGCCAAGTTTTGTCGCATCAACAACGCTAATCCCTTTTTAATAAATTAAGTAGCATTAATCTATAATTTTACCGTTAATTTATAATTTTATCATTAATCTAATAATTTTAACTTGCTTTTTTTATTTTATGCGATAAATATTTTATGTGCAGTGCGATTTGAAATATTTGGATATTTTGAGAGCAATTTTTGAGAATACAGCAATTATGCGATAAGCTGAATTACATGCTGTATTATTTACAATTTGATCCAATCGAGAGGGAAACTAATGATTTTCTTTGGTTGCAAAAGGCATCATTGGCTAAGCATACTAATTAATGCATGTACAAATTAAAAATTCACAAATTGGCATCTTTCCCACTTTTCATTCAAAATTAACATTTACTCGAGAAAAAAAGGATTCAACTGAAAGAATATGCAATCATAATGATATCGTTGCTATTTATCTTTTAAAAGCATCGGAGTTTCTTTGAATTAGAAGTGACAAATGATTATGGCAAATAAATTAAAAACATCGTCGAAGAGAAAATAGAATCCGACAGTGATTGATTAATGTATAAAAAAAGTAATGGAACTGCAATAAACAATATTGCAAGATAGAACAGCAGATGATTGAACGATAATGATTAATTGATACTACGTCGCTTATACAATTTCTAATGTTAATTAACGTGAAACGCTTGACGGTAATCAAGACCAACGTAATAATTATAAGCATCGCAGCAACGCTAATATTACTTAATTCTTAAAGAATTTCCTGTCGTAATTAAATTCGGGAGAGCATTGTTAGGAAACAATGGTTGGTTTTATTTACCGTTCCGCGAGAAATACTCTCGTATAATTAACATATCGTAATAAATTAACAAATGTACACTATCTTGCCTCAGTTTTATCGATTTTACTTGTTAATATGCGTTCTTAATCCAACTAGTTTTTAATATCTATTTGTTCAGAATTATAATAATTATACATTTAAATGTTTTCCTTTTTTTCAGGTATGATTATGTTTACTTATCACGAACCTATGTTTTCGCTAGCATGAGTCAGCGGGAGTTTCTCCACGTTGTACATTATTGTATCATACATTATTATATGCAGTGACCATCATTACGATCGTTACTCATTGTGCGTTTTAATTTATTTGCTTGTTGGAACATGTGTTTATTATGCAACCACGTGATTTCACACTGTTATCGTTTGTGCTTCAAACTGCATATGAAAAAAACCGATACGTGAGATATGCAGTTCTTGCAGATAAATTAAAGCTACCATTTAATACTGTAATTTTTTTTACCTGTACGTTAAAAGTGTGCCTGTGTTTGCATGCGTGTGATATATCGTAAGCTTATCTACATTTCTTTAATCTCGTTAAATAATACGACAGCTCTGTCGTCATTGGTGAGATGACGATATTTTTTCTGATTTACCTTAATTTTTCTTTCTAGCACATTAGATGTAGTGAAGTGATAGACTGCACGAATAGATCGAAATGAACCGTTCCTTTTTTTTCAACTTTATTTTAGCAAGCGGTGGAAGAGAAATATAAGCTCTGCGATGAAACATTGTCTAAGCTCCTGCAGTGGATCTCCGAGATCGAGGACAAGCTGGCGGATCAAGATACCGTGAAAGAAGATGTGGAAGAATTGAGAAAGCAGATAATTACCATGAAAGTAAGTGTGATGAAATTCGTAATAATCGAACATTTCTAAATACGCTTGCTTAAAGAGTTAGATAATTAAATGTTTGTTTTAATGAAAATTGCAGGAAATAAAGGAGGATCTCGAAGCGCACAGCCGAACCGTGTCATCCTGCTTAGATCAGATTCGACAAGTCGTCCTGACCGGTGGCAACGTGTTGTCCAGCGACGAAGTGTCCACATTGGAGAAGAACGGTCGATCTCTGAAAACCCGATTTGACAAAGCGTTGGACCGCACTGACAAATTAGTGAAACGTCTCACTGGTGCCAGAGACGAGTTAACGAAGTTCAAGTCAGTGTCGCTTGTGTAATTTCTGCGTAATTTAATATTTTTCGAAATTTAATCAATTCATCTTTCCATAGGAATGAGCTGACGACGTTCTCAATTTGGCTGGACAAAGCCAGAGCCGTACTCGAGGATAAGGAACGTTCGCTGTCCGATCTGAATAAATTGAGCAGCAGCACGGACACCACTCGCGATTTCATCAGCGATGTCATCGCTCACCAAGCAGATTTGAGATTCATCACGATGGCCGCGCAGAAGTTCGTCGACGAGAGCAAAGAGTATCTCCAAGTTCTCAACGACTTTAGGACCAGCTTGCCGCAAAGACTGCCGCACAAAGAGCCCACTGCCAGCCAGGATTCGCCGGTACGAGCCGAAGTGTCCAGCGCGACGGCTCGGTACAAAGATCTACTGTCTCGAGCGAATCTTCTGTCAGACAGATTATCAGGCGTCGGTGGTAAACAGAGAGATTATCATGATTCTCTGGATAAAGCTAGAACGTGGCTGAGGGAGGTCGAACCGAAGGTGCACAGAATTATTTCCGAGCCTGTCGCCGCCGAGCCGAAACAAGTAGAGGACCAACTGAGCAAAGCCAAGGCGTTGAACAATGAATTCGTCGCTAATGAGCGCTTGGTCGACAACGCTAAGCACAGCCTTGAGGCTTTGCTGCATTCTCTCGAGGGCCAATTGACGATCAACGAAGCTAACGAGCTTGAAGAACCGGTGAAGGCACTGGAAGATAAATACAAGCAACTCAGTAACGCCCTGGCTGACAAGTGTCAAGAGCTTGACACAGCGCTAGTGAGAAGCCAAGGAGTGCAAGATGCGTTGGACAGTCTCGTCGCGTGGCTGAATAACGTTGAGAGTCAATTTAAGTGAGTATAAAAAAGTATCTGGCATTATTTTAAGCTTATTTAAGTGTGTATTTTATACATATTCTAACACAAATTGTATTATTTAGATCGCTTCAGCGTCCAGCGAGCTTGCAGAAGGAACGTTTGGAGGAGCAACAAAGGGAACAGCGATTACTTCAAGCCGATCTGGATAGCCATCGTTTGAGCGTAGAAACCATCACAGCGAACGCTCAAGATCTTCTCTTGAACTCGAGCAATGTCCGCATCGCCAAGCGCATCGAGAGCAAGCTGAAGGATGTGCAAAGCAGATTCGAGAAACTGATGGACAAGTCTTTGAGGCGCGGCGAATTCTTGGATGAAATAGCGCAAGCTCTGAACGAGTTCCTCAGCGATGTATCTAAATTCGAGAGCTGGTACGCACACATGATGGAAGTGCTCGACGCGAGAGATCTGAGCAAGCTCGACATGTCGGAGTACGAAGGTAAAATGGCTCGATTGATAGACTTGCGCGAGGATCAGCGCGGCAATTTCGAAGATCTTATACGCAGCGGAAAGAATTTAATCTCCAAGAAGGATATAACCGAAGCCGGCGCGATCCGAGACAAGATCAAGGCGCTCGAATCCCAGTGGAAGGAACTGAACAATCTACTCGACGAGAAACAACGTTTGTGCAAATCGCGAGCGGAACAACACATCGCGTACGAGAAGCTGCGGGATCAAGTGCTCGATTGGCTCACTCGCACGGAGAACAAGGTGCAAGGCCTCGAACCGGTCGCTGTGGATTTAGACAAGCTGAAATTGCAGCAGGAGGAACTGAAACCAATACAAAAGGAATATCGCGACTACGGTAACACGGTCGACAAGATCAACGATCTCGGTATTGCTTACGACAGCCTGTTGAAGGAACGCGGCGAGAGTCCAACGCGTCGCCGTGGCAGTGCCAGTCCGACGAAGAGACCAGGTATTATTGCATTTACCGATGCATTTAATTATACACACGTGCAATCGTATAAACACTTTTCAGTGGCATGACTGTATTTTGCCTGCGAACTGCGTACGTTGATTCTTCGCGAACCGATTGTTAAGAGTCGGCTCGTGTGACGTATTAGTTATAGCAATTCTATTAGCTCATATACCTCTCACGTTGCATCTTTTTCAGCGCACAATCATTCCGCCGTTTCCGTTACGTTTGATCGTTTTTTTCTGTCAATTTTTTTTGTAGTACTGCGAATGTCACAAGACGGTCGCTCGCCGTCACCCACTAAATCCTACGCGGTTCAAAGTCCGGTCTCTCCAGGTGGTAGCAGCGGATTCAGCAGTCGCCGTTCGAGCCAAGACGGCTTCCATTTGGAGGAACTGTCGCCGGTTCAGCAGCAGCTTTCCGAGATCAATCACAGATACGGATTGCTCGGCGTCCGATTGTCCGATCGCCAAACGGAATTGGACAACATTAAGGAGGAACTGAAAAAACATTTGGATCATTTGAAAGTGCTCTCTCAATTCTTGGATAAGGTAATTACATTTTTTGGAAAATAGCATTACATCTTTTCGCAATTTGTGTACAAAAATAAATGTTTTTCACAGATCCAGCGGCAGCTGCCTAAAGAAAGTATGCCCGCCACTAAAGACGACGCGGACAAAACAGCCAAGCAAGTCAAACTCCTCGTCGAGGAGATGTACGAGAAGCAGTCTCTGTTGGACAGCACTCGTACGCAAGTGCGTGATTTGGTCAGACGTAAGAAGGGAGCGGACGGCGTTGACAGATTGAACGATGAGATGGAAGACGTCGCTAGCCGCTGGAGATCGATCTCGGACAGATGCAAGGACAGAATCAAATTCTTGGAAGACATTAAAGACTTCTACGACACGTACGACGGTCTGAATTCGTGGCTTGGCGCTAAGGAGCGCATGCTGAGCGCTCTAGGACCGATTTCGCCCGATCCTCGCATGGTCGCGAGCCAAGTGCAACAGGTGCAAGTCCTCCGGGAGGAATTCAGAACTCAACAGCCGCAATTGGATCATCTGATACAAGTCGGAGAGAGTATTCTCGTCACGATATCCGTAGATTCTTCGGACGGACAAAAGATAAACGCGAAACTGCAGAGCATCTTGCAAAGATGGGCGGATCAAATGGGAAGATTGGACGAGAGAGCGCAAAGTTTGGGAGACGCCGTGGATACCAGTCGCGAGTTCGACGCCAGTCTTAATCGACTGCGGGACGCCTTGCAAGCAATTTCGGACAATTTGGACGAGTTGACTCTTGAAAAAGATCCCGAAGAGCAACTTCGTAAGATCGAGAATCTGGAGAGGCAGTTAGAAGGACAAAGACCGTTGTTGGCGGACGCGGAAATGGCCGGTGCGCAGTTATGCGAAGTTCTCAGCGACCCTGCATCGAGGTCCGAAATTCAAGGAAAACTCGCCACCGTCGGCAAAATGTATAACAACTTGCAGAAGAAGCTGGATCACAGGAAAGCTGAAATCGAAGGCAATCTCCGAGACGGAAGGCAATTTGAGGCTTCCTGTAGCAGAACTCTTGGATGGCTCGCCGACGAACTTGGCAATATGTCTGAGAAGCTGCTGGTGTCTGCTGACAGAGAAGTTCTGCAACAACAACTTGACCATCACGAAGTATGCATAAATATTCAAAAAATTTGCATTTTTCACTTACATATACAATAGCGAATATAATTTAAAAGAGCTACTTTTCATTATTAATTTTATTTGATAAATTTGGATAAAACTATTTCTTAAATATGTTAGTAAAATATGTGATTTTTATTTTTTATATAAACTCAGTAAAATAACTGATATATAAATGATTTATCTTTAACTTTTATTCATTATTGTGTATAACTTTACTTTTTTAAATTACTAATAAGCAAATATTATTTTCAGCCTGTATATCGAAATGTGATGGGTAAAGAGCACGAAGTCATAATGCTGTTGAATAAAGGACGTGACATACTTGCACGGTCTCAGAAAGCTGAAAACCGTTCTCTTCAACGCGACTTGGACAAGATGCAGTCGCAGTGGGATCGCTTGAAGAAGGATACCGTCGAGAGACACACCAGATTGCAGACTTGCGCGGAACATTGCAAGAAATATTACAAAGCTCAGGACGTATTCCTCCCGTGGCTCCGACAGGCCGAGGACAAATTGGATAGCTTAATTCCTACATCCTTCAGACGCAAAGACATCGAGAAACAGCTGAAGGAATTGTCATCGTTCAGGAACGAAGTGTGGAAGCACTCTGGAGAATTTGAAAATAATAAGACGCTCGGCGAGACGTTTGTCGGAGCTTGCGACATTGACAAACAGAACGTGAAGAATGAACTCAGCGCTATGAAAACTAGATGGGATAAATTGAACAATGGTATGCGCAATTATTTATTTTATATTTTATAAGTTATTTTAAATAATTTAATTTTATAATTAAATTAATTTTTATAATTATTCTATATATTTTTCAATCACGATTAATTGAATCATTTTCTGCAGATTTGCTGTCTAGAACACAGTCTTTGGAAGATACCGCACGTCACTTAATGGACTTCAATGAGAACTTGCGCGTATTTGCAACACGGTTTACAGCGTTGCGAAGATAAATTAGCCTCGCACGATGCTCTTGGTGGAGCAGCCAAGGATCCAAAACTTCTCGACAGAATAAAGGTAACGAAAATTCATTGGATTCTTATAAAAGATAAAATAGAAGATCTATTTAATATAAGAATGTATAATTTTATAATTATTTTCAGAATTTGCGAGAGGAAACGACGAGCTTGAAGAAACCCTTGCAATGCGTGAAACAACAGGCGAACGATCTCGTGAACAAAGCCGGCGAGCAAGGCGTCGATGCGACACATTTACAGGACGAAATTGATAATGTTACAGATCGCATTAATGATTTGCAAGCGAAACTGGACGACAGATGCAACGAGTTGCAGAGCGCGGCGACAGCGGTCGCGCAATTTAACGATCAAGCAAAATCGATCAATCAACATCTGACGGCTCTCGAGAAAGATTTAGATTCCATGAAGGCACCCGGCAGAGAAATTAAGATTGTACGAGGCCAATTAGAGGATACTTCCAGAGTCATCAGCAGAATTATCAAGCTCTACGAAGATATTAGTGATCTGGAGAATCGTGGCGAGCGTTTGGTCGATTACGGTTTCGCCGCTGACGCTGTAGCAACCAGAAATCAAGTCGATGGATTCAAACGACAAATTGGCAAACTGGATGAGCGTGCGCGTAACAGAGAGGATGAGCTCACTTCCACCTTGAACAAGCTGCAAGAGTTCTATCAATTGCACGCTGAAGTTATGGAGGGTATTAGTGACGCAAACGAACAGGTCAGAAAGTTCAAGCCTGTTGGATCCGAAGTGGATTCGATTAAGGCTCAACAGGAGGACTTTAGAGCTCTTAAATCCAACAAGATTGAACCGCTGGCGCACGCCATCGATGAGTGTAATGCACTCGGTCAAAATCTCATACAGACTGCAGGACGAGATGTCAACACAAGTAACATCGAGAAAGACGTCGACAAAATGAACGAAAGATGGAACGATTTGAAAGATAGAGTAAGTAATTGATTTTTTTCTACAAGTGTTGAGAAATTTAATATATATTTGGAAAAAAATGTGGATAAAATAAATTTTTTTCTTGAATTATATGTGTCGAAAAATAATGAATAAGTGAATTGATCTAAATCTTGTGTTAACTGCGTTATTTATTTGCTTTCAAATTGTCGCTATTTAGATTGACTACGATTAATTAGGATTATAAAATTTATAATTAACGTAATATAATTATAAACGTGTCGACGAAATTGCTGTTGCTGTTGTAAATTACACGAATTTATTAATGTTATTGACGTCTCTTTGATTTAGATACATATATGAATTTAAGTTAAAGAAATAAACATATTTAGTTATTAACACACACACACATTTTTTAGCGTATGATTAATATTATATACATTTAAAATTAACGGAGAATTCACATCTTATTACTGTTTTACTCACAATTTTTAATTTTTTTTTAGCTGAATGAACGAGATCGCAAGCTCGACGTTGGATTATTGCAATCTGGCAAATTCCAAGAGGCTTTGGACGGCTTAGAGAAATGGTTGACCGATACAGAAGAAATGGTTTCCAATCAGAAGTCACCGTCCTCCGATTACAAAGTTGTGAAAGCGCAGTTGCAGGAACAGAAATTCCTGAAAAAGATGTTGCTGGACCGTCAAAATTCTATGTCGTCTCTCTACAATATGGGACGAGAAGTAGCCGCAGATGCAGATCCGAAGGAGCGTAAAGCCATCGAGAAGCAGTTGAACGATCTAGTGGGCAGATTCGATAATCTGACCGAAAGCGCCGCGGAGAGAATGGACGCTCTCGAGCAAGCTATGGTGGTGGCGAAACGATTCCAAGATAAATTAGTGCCGCTTGCCATCTGGTTGGACAAGACGGAGAAGAAAGTAAGAGACATGGAGTTGGTTCCCACCGATGAAGAGAAAATACAACAACGCATCAACGAGCACGATGTACTTCACGAGGACATCATATCGAAGACGCCTGATTTCAGCGAACTCACGGAGATAGCAAGCCAGCTAATGTCGCTCGTGGGCGAAGACGAAGCCGCCGCATTGGCCGACAAGCTTCAAGATGCGGCGGACAGATACGCCGCTTTGGTCGAACGATCTGAGGCTCTCGGCAGCCTGTTGCAACGCTCGAGGCAAGGCTTGCGTCATCTGGTTCTCACGTATCAAGATCTGCAGGCGTGGATGGAGAACATGGAGATCCGATTGTCGAAGTATCGCGTTTTAGCTGTGCACACGGAGAAACTTTTGCAGCAAATGGACGATCTCGCGGACCTCACGGAGGAGATTTCCACGCGGCAAACGGAAGTCGACAGCACCGTGGATTCCGGTCTGGAACTGATGAAGCACATCTCGAGCGACGAGGCGCTTCAACTGAAGGACAAGTTGGACTCGCTGCAGCGTCGATTCAATGATCTCGTCACGCGCGGCTCGGATCTTCTGAGGCACGCTCAGGAGTCCTTGCCGCTGGTGCAGCAATTCCACGATAATCATAATCGATTGATGGATTGGATGCAGGGCGCGGAGTCGGCTCTTCAGTCCGCCGAGCCTCGCGAGGAGGAGATCATACGACTCGAGATGGAGATATCGGAGTACAGACCCGTCTTGGACAAGATCAACGCGGTGGGCCCGCAGCTGTGTCAAATGTCGCCGGGCGAGGGTGCCGCGACTATCGAGGGTCTCGTCACTCGGGACAACAGGCGATTCGATGCGATCGCCGAGCAGATCCAGAGGAAGGCGGAGAGGATTCAACTGAGCAAGCAGCGTTCCCTGGAGGTGATCGGCGATATCGACGATCTGCTCGATTGGTTCAGGGAGGTCGACAATCAACTCCGCGAGGCCGAGCCGCCCAGCAGCGAACCTGAGATTATCCGAGTACAATTGAAGGAGCACAAAGCGCTCAACGACGATATATCCAGCCAGAAGGGCCGAGTCCGCGATGTCATTTCGACGGCGAAGAAGGTGATACGTGAAAATATTCAGCACGAGGACACGTCTACTATCAGAGACAAGATGGAAGATCTGCGCGAAACGATGGAGATTGTGTCGGCCTTATCGACGGACAGATTGGGAGCTCTGGAGCAAGCTCTACCGTTGGCTGAGCATCTTCGCGACACTCACGCCGGTCTCGTCAGCTGGCTAGAGGAGGCCGAACAGCAAATCGCCATGTTGCCTATGCCCGCTCTGCGACCCGATCTGATCGCGGCGCAACAAGACAAGAACGAACTTCTCATACAGAGCATCAACGAGCACAAGCCTCTGGTGGAGAAACTCAACAAGACCGGCGAAGCTCTCATCAAATTGTGCAACGAGGAGGAAGGTATAAAAGTGCAGGACATTCTGGATAACGACAACGCGCGCTACGCCGCGCTGAGAGCCGAATTGAGAGGTCGACAGCAGGCGTTGGAACAGGCGTTGCAAGAATCTTCGCAGTTCTCCGACAAGCTGGAAGGTATGCTGCGTGCGCTGTCGTCCACCGCTGATCAAGTGAACGGCGCTGAGCCTGTCAGCGCTCATCCTCCTCGTTTGCGCGATCAGATGGAAGAAAATGCAGCCTTGGCGGACGATCTTGCACAGAGATCTGAGGCTTACGCGGCCGTCAAGAAAGCCGCGGACGATGTGATCAGCAAAGCCGGCAATAGAGCCGACCCGGCGGTGAAAGACATCAAGCGCAAGCTGGACAAGCTTAATAAATTATGGGCGGACGTGCAGAAGGCAACGACCGACCGCGGTCGCACTTTGGACGACACTTTGGCTGTCGCCGAGAAGTTCTGGGCCGAATTGAACGGAGTGATGGCTACCCTGAGAGAGCTGCAAGACGCTCTCGCCGGACAGGCACCACCGGCCGCTCAACCGGCCGCCATTCAGCAGCAGCAGGTGGCGTTGCAGGAAATCAGACAAGAGATCGATCAGACCAAGCCGGATGTCGAGCAAGTCAGAGCGTCGGGGCACGAATTGATGGGATTGTGCGGCGAGCCGGACAAACCTGAAGTGCGCAAGCACATCGAAGATCTGGATCAGGCTTGGGACAACGTCACCGCTTTGTACGCCAGACGCGAGGAGAATCTAATCGACGCCATGGAGAAGGCGATGGAGTTCCACGAGACGCTGCAGAATCTGCTGGAGTTCCTGCAGGAGGCCGAGGACAGATTCGCGGACATGGGTCCGCTCGGCAGCGACATCGACGAGGTGAAGAAGCAGATCAAGCAGCTGGCCAACTTTAAGGCCGAGGTGGACCCGCACATGGTGAAAGTCGAGGCGTTGAACAGGTGACGAACCTTCACATTTACATATTGAAGTTATATGTTAATGGCGTTGCAAAGAGTTCAGTGCCCAGCATTGTCCCCTTTGTGCAATTTCCCACCCGAGAAATTATCTGCGACAAACGTAAATTCTAATCCCAACTTTTGTTTTTCTCTGCGCCGGTTCCCGAACATAGGAGTCTGACAAGGCAAGTCCAATCACTCTCAGTGTTGTCGCTGGTAGTTAGAGCATGGCTTCACATTGTACCGTGTCTACTCTTCCATCCGCCCGTTTAGTTTAATAATCTTAACAATTTACATTTAATCTCCAAACCCCCCCCCCCCGTGTCACCTCAAAGGCAAACTACTCCCGCCGCATGCAGCAGGTGGATCAAGTGAGCAACCACGAGAATCCGTAGATGATAATAATACAATTTATATTCTTGACAGAAGAATAACGTGGAAGCGGCAGTAATCAATATCCAGTTGATATTAATTTCTCTGGTAGCTAAACTCGTTGAGATTTTTACACCCGTCCTCCCTGTAGATCTGGTGTTCAATGTTGTGTGGTGCGAAAATACGTGGCTGCATATTGGCTACATAATAGAATAACAAATCTTGTACAGCGATGTATTTTTCTAATTGTATCATTTTCTTGTATTTAGACAAGCGGCAGAATTAACGGAGAGGACGTCTTCCGAGCAAGCAGCAGCCATTAAAGAACCACTCGGTGCCGTGAACAAACGATGGGACGGCCTGCTGAGAGGCTTAGTGGAGAGGCAGCGATTGCTGGAGAACGCGTTACTGCGGCTCGGTCAATTCCAACACGCGTTGGACGAGCTGTTGGTGTGGATCGAAAAGACAGACAAAACGCTTGATAATCTCAAGCCGGTAGCCGGCGATCCGCAAGTGATCGAAGTCGAGCTGGCCAAACTGAAGGTCCTTGTGAACGACATACAAGCGCATCAGACGAGCGTCGACACTCTGAACGACGCCGGACGTCAGTTGATCGAGGATGGCAAAGGCACCGCGGAAGCGTCTACCACGGCCGATAAGCTAGGCACTTTGAATCGCCGTTGGCGAGATCTGCTGCAGCGCGCTGCTGATCGCCAGCGAGAACTGGAAGACGCTTTGCGAGAGGCGCAATCCTTCACCGCCGAGATACAGGACTTGCTGTCGTGGCTGGGCGACGTGGATAACATGATAGTAGCCTCCAAGCCCGTCGGCGGTCTGCCCGAGACCGCGTCCGAACAGCTGGAACGCTTCATGGAGGTTTACAACGAGCTGGAGCAGAACCGTCCAAAGGTCGAAACAGTGCTGCAACAAGGACAAGAATATCTGAAGAAGGCAGACACGACCAGCGCGGGTGGATTGAATCACAATTTACGCACGTTGAAGCAGAAGTGGGACAACGTGCTCGCGCGCGCCAGCGATAAGAAGATAAAATTGGAGATCGCGCTGAAGGAGGCTACCGAATTCCACGACGCGCTGCAAGCGTTCGTTGATTGGCTGACCAACGCTGAGAAGATTCTGACGAATCTTAAACCGGTCTCGAGGGTTATGGAAACGATACTCCAACAAATCGAAGAGCACAAAGCATTCCAGAAGGACGTCGGCGTGCATCGCGAGACCATGTTGAATCTCGACAAGAAAGGAACTCATCTCAAATACTTCTCTCAGAAGCAGGACGTGATTCTTATTAGAAACTTGCTCGTGAGCGTGCAGCACAGATGGGAACGAGTGGTCTCCAAGTCGGCGGAGCGGACGAGAGCGTTAGATCACGGTTACAAGGAGGCCAGAGAATTCCACGACACCTGGTCGAACTTGATGAACTGGTTGGACGAAACCGAAAAGACGCTGGACGAAGTCGCGGCTGACGGACTCGGCGGCAACGATCCGGACAGAATTAAAGCGCGCCTCACCCGACACCGTGAGATACAGAAGGCGCTGAGCGCTAAGCAGAGCACGTACGACACGACGATGAAGAACGGGAAAACGTTGAAGGACAAAGCGCCGAAGACTGACGAGCCCGCTTTGAGAGAACTTCTGAACGAGTTGAAGAACAAATGGACTACTGTATGCGGTAAGTGCGTGGATCGACAGAGGAAACTGGAGGAGGCCCTGCTGTTCTCCGGACAGTTCAAAGATGCGATTCAGGCGCTGCTTGAGTGGCTGAGCAAAACCGAGAAGTATCTGGCCAACACCGGACCGCTTCATGGCGATCTGGATACTGTAACCAATCTAGTGGAGCAGCATAAGACCTTTGAGAGGGATCTGGAGTCGCGCGCTTCGCAAATGGAGTCCGTCATCAAGACAGGTCGCGAGCTGGAGTCTAAAGCTTCCATCGAGGACGCGTCGATGATCAGGTCGCAACTATCCGAATTGAACAGCCTCTGGGACAGAGTGACCAGTCTATCGTCGAAGAAGTCGAGGCAACTAGAAGACGCCCTTCGAGAGGCCGAACGACTTCACAAAGCTGTTCACGTGTTGCTGGAATGGCTGAGCGACGCGGAGATGAAGTTGCGATTCGCCGGACCGCTGCCGGAAGACGAGCAAGAGAGCAGAAACCAACTTATGGAGCACCAGAGATTCCTCCGCGAGTTGCAGACTAAGGAAATCGAGAAGGACAACACGTTGGAGCTGGCGCACATCATCCTCGGAAAGGCTCATCCGGACGGCGCCGCCGTCATCAAACACTGGATCACGATTATTCAATCCAGGTGGGAGGAAGTGGCGACTTGGGCTTATCAGAGGAACCAAAGGCTGGAGAATCATATGCAAGGCTTGCAGGTTCGCATTATGCCGCTCATACGTAATATATTTTATTCTATAAAACAAAATATTATATTTAATTATATCCGCATTTGCAGGATCTTGACAATCTTCTCGAGGAGTTGTTAGCCTGGCTCGAAGGTTTGGAGAACACCTTGAACGCCCTCGAAGCGGAACCCTTGCCGGATGACAGGGCTACGCTCGAAATGCTCATCGCGGATCACAGAGAATTTATGGAGAATACCAGCCGAAGGCAAAACGAGGTTGATCGCGTGTGCAAGGCCCGGCAAATCAAGCCGATAAAGGATGCGAGAAAAATATCGAAAATTAGATCGCCAGCGCCCACGTACGTATTTATCGATATGAAAATTTACGTGTACGTCAAATATCGACATAAATGAGACTTCTGTTTGTTGTAAAGTAAATGTGGATACAGAATTATGGATGCTGACATCGTGCAGAGCATCGTATTCTGTTATGCTTGTATAAATCATCGAGTTTTCTGTGCACATTTGTGTTACGTTTGTGTATTTTGTATTTAATTAATTAGTTGGATTTCTTGTCACGAATTTTATGCACATTGCAATTGTACTGACAATTTTACATCACCGTAAAGAATCACGAAAATCTCACGTTTTCAAGCTGCTTGCAATTTTTTACGTTTTTGCTTTTTTCTGTATTGTATTTGTGTATTTAACTGTCGCATGATATGTCGCTTTTGCAATGGAATTTCAGTAAGGATCTCTATCAGGATAGCGAGCTTGAGCAGCCTCAACCTCGTAAGCAAAGGTGCGTTTTCCATCGTAACATAAATTTAGCTTACGCAATTTAGTCGAATAGTGTTTTCGTAAGTACAGTGTTCATTAATTTAGTATGTGCATTTTAAATGTACATATTTCTTTTTGTATGATTTCTATATTCAGAACACAAAACAATTCCGACCACACAATAATTCTTATTCGCACAGTCAAACAACAAAGCCAACAGCAAAAGTCTACGATTCAGTAAATATTACATGTATAAAATCACGTTCAATGTAACTCACTCGCTTGTTAGTCGTGTCCGCAATATTCACAATCTTAATGTTCGCACTGTCTGCACTGTGTTGAAAAAAATCACTCACGTTTTGTCTTCACATGTTTTGTGTTACATGCTACACCATCATAATGCATACACATAGCTTTAAGACATCAAGTTACAATTAAGAATTGCTTTTCAACACGAGGAACAGGAACAGATTTTATGAAACATTTATCGAATAATTTTTTATACTTGTAATAATACTTGTACTAATAATTTTATTATACTTGTCATATAAATTTTTAATCAGCAAAAAATTCCAGTTTTACACTTTTAAATCTATTTATGATACACATAAAACAATTTTATAAACCAAATTGCTGAGACGCAGCACGTCGACGAGAATTTTATACATACTTTATTTAGTAGAAAGTGTTTGAGTGATGTGACGCATGTTCCTGTTTAGCCGAGGCAGCCCAGGTCGTGACAGAACGCCAGATCTTACATTGCCACACATCGGTCCACGCTTCCCACCTAAAGGAAGGTTCGTTAGTCTACTTTTACTCGAGTTCATCTTACATTCCGATTTTCATCCGAAATTTCATCGTCCAGGCATTACTCTGCTTAATGACTCAACGTATCATACGACTCATTAATTAATTCGGTAATGGGTTTCTTGCTCTTTTGCGGGTTGAAATGGTTGGGTTTTGAAAAACTGCTACTATTTGTTTTCGGACATTATTTGTTTTGTATTGAGAGTGTGAAGTTTTCTAATGCGAGATACATATATTACATGTATTTTTTATTCTATTTTTCTGTCGCGAAAACCGTATATTGGATATTCATTTCTCTTATCATATTTCTTATATTTTTGCTGTGAAATTATAATTATTATAGTTGATTAGTTATTAATTATTATAG